GTTTCATAAATAAAGTTTCTGAAATGACCTTTTAATACGGAGAAAACCTCTAATTCTCAGCCCCTGTGCCAGCTAGAGACCTCAACCTTCACAAGGGCTGATGGGCACAACCCACCCCCGGGCACCATGGGAGGACATCCCTTCTGGGCAGGAGTCTGCTGCTTCGAAACGCCTAAATCAGATGATGCAAGCAGTGAGGTGTCTTTGCACGAGCCCCAGGCGTGAATGCACTGAGGTGCCTGTGTGGCAAGAAACAGCCTCCCTTTGGCAGCCCAAAGAGAAGAAGCTTTTGCTTGTTTTCCTGACATCAGCACTATCAAGCTGCAATACATATTAATCGCTGTTTAATAGGTTTGTGCAATTTCTAGTTTCACACTTTAGGCTGGTGGCACGTGCACTACATCACCATCATCCTCAGAGAGCACAGAGCACCTGGGAAGCAGGAGGAGCTGGAGAGGGGGGAGAGATTCAGAAAGACATGGAGGCTACTGATGTCAAGAGGACTTTAGGCACCCTAACATCTGCAGGGATTTTGCTCTCACCTATTTTATGGCATCGGATTCAGGGCATCCTCTGCCAACTGCACCTCAAGGTCAGACTCTGAGTGGGGTCAACCACCACATAAATAGAGTAGAAGATGCTCCTGTGAGTGTAACTGGAAGATCTTACCTCCTCTCAGCTCAGGATAGAGAGCACAGGGCAACAGATATAGGAGCCTGCTCCTGCATCCCCAAAGCAGGCCAAAAATGCCACAGGAGCCAAACAACGGAGCAAAGGAAGTTAAGAGAACACAACACTGGGCCCAGACCATCCAGGAAGCAGATGAAAATCCAGGAACTACACTGAAATACAATCTCTAGCCCCTTGTGGGCACAAGGCCTCAGTGTCATGCTGTTCTTCCTCGCCTCAGCTAAGCAATATTGTAATTACTGCCCTGCACAGATAGGGCTTAAGGGACATAACAGCCTGACCACTCGCTCTTCAACACTAGCGGGGATCCTCCCAGCTTGACACAATTCAGTTTCTACCCTGTGATCTAAAGGCCTTTAAGCAGCTTCCTATCTTTTTTCCCCACTCAATTTTTCCAATGTCTGGTCACTTCTGAAGATGGGCCATTTGTAGCACACAAAAGGAGTTACCTTCCACTTGGTAAAATTCCTCCAGATTCAGCAAAAGCAGTGATAAAGGAGAGGCCAATGCTTTTTATGGTCAGCAGGCACCGTTCAAGAAAGTATATGTGCAAAACCCTCATTGACTTATGTGGCACTTAAAGCACCTGCTTCTTTATATTGCACAACTGCAGTTAAAATGGTAAAGGAATCAAAGCGATGCTGAGGAGCCACCCTTACTCTGAGGATAGCTATGGACACACACACTGGATCCAGTCCTCACCACACTGTACAGGATAGTGCAGAATGGCCCAATCATCTGCTCAGAGGAGGTCAGGGAAGCTGCACTCTGGCAAGACAGGGCTGTGACAAACTAGCTCCTAGAGAAAGGGCACTGTGATAGAAGCACACAGGCTCTGCCTCTGGGGGATGGTTAGCTTTTCCTAGAAAGGGCTGAGACACCTCTGCTTCCTCTAACATCAGAGGACGTTCATTATTTGGGGGAATGGACGGCATAGCGCTCAAAACATTAAATGATAGTGGCCAAGAACACTCAATCCCTCTAGCACAGAGCAGGACAGTCAATCTGCACAGGACACAGATGCCTACATTACTAGCCATGTGCATCCTGACTGCTCATATTTTAGTCTCAGTCCTAAATAAAGAGGTTCTGGATCTCCCTTGAACCAAGAGATGGGGCAGCTAGGGTATCATCCTCAAATGAGAAAGGTAATTTACCATCCTTCCATCCTCCCACAGCATCTACATAAACTTGGGCTTTTCCCTTTCAAGAGGTGGTTGCAAAACTAAACAAAGCAGATGCTCCAATTTCAGGTGAAGCACAGAGCCCTTACAACCTGCTGCAGGTCCTAAAAGACAGACCTCCTCCCTCCCCCCCCGACTTGGTGGTCTTTGCCTCGGCTAAATTCTTTGGGGAGGAGGACAGAAAAGGCTACTGCAACTGTGAACTGGAAAACTGGAGCCAGTGGCTTCGAGGATTGGGGCAAAGAGATCACAAAGTTGGACTAGCTCTGAGTACCTGGAATGAAACCTGCACAATCCTTTTTGCGATATGACCTTCACAGCCAAAAACAAAGGTTGTAAAGCAGAGGGTTGAGGAATGCCCATATAAAGCAACACAGAGCAGGCATGAATCCCACCTGGAACAATGCATTCATCTTTAACCTGGGACCTCTTCCCCTAATTCTATATAATAAAGATGTGTTACTGACGTTACTAACGTAGAGAGAAAAATGTAGAAAGAACAACGCCTTATTTCCTTCTTATGAATTGAGCAAATTATACTTCCCACTGAAAAACAGGATTAGGCTTACACTGGAGAAGTGTCATAAATTTATGATCACAAGTCTATGACCAAACTGAGACTGAGAGAGCAAGAATGTCTTTCTAAGCCAGGCTACAAAATGAGTCAAGGGCAAGGGCTAAGAAATGCTTATATGGTTCACCCAGTAAAACGATCAAAAAGGAGATTATTAGATGGACAAATAGCAGCTTTGCTGGGCCAGATACCATGCAATCCTTGAAACGTGTAGTATAACAGTCAGTGGAGCAAAAGTGGACAACAGGCTTGTTCGGGTTCTCTTGAATAGACAATGCATTCATCAAAAAATGCATTTTTAGGTTAATTGAAACTATGTGTCAGGTTAAGAAAAAAGCAAAAAACATTAAAATATTTTCTTTCAGCATTTTCAAAACAAAAGGTTTCACATGTTTGCTTCAAAACAACTTTTCATAGCCCAAGTATGCTTAAAGTCATAATGTTTTTCAAAAAGTGAAAAAATTCTAAAAATGAAATGTTTCATTTTTGACTGAAACTTTTTTTTGTGTTTTGATTTTTCTTTTTCATTTCACTGAAAAAAATGAAAAAAAAACTGTTTCAGGTCAACCTTACAATTTCAGGTCACTCTTACAACTTTTTTTTCCTCCAGATTTTTCAGTTTAGCCCGCAAACTGAAAAACCACTGTGGGCACAGCCTACCTGAGAGTTTACTGTCCCTCTGTCTATATGAATCAATCCTAAGCCAAAGTAAATGGGAAGTTTGTTTCACCAAGTAACATTAACCAGAGTCGAGGTATTTAGCTGATGTAAAAATACTGAAAAGCAGAGGAGTTGTGCCTCTGAGCAAAATGGGCTGAACATGACCTAGGAGGTGACAGATCTCCTGGCTCCAAATAATCATCATCACCACCTACAAGCTTCCTGCTAAGCCATCCTACTCTCGTATAAGGCAAATTATAAACTCTTGAGTCCAATCCTGCACTTTCAGAATCTGAGATGTGCTTGCAACCACTTATTTGCGAACAGTGCAAGATCTAGGTAACCGGCCCTACCTGCTCCAAGCAAGGGGTTTTGAGGGTTGGGCATGAGAAAACGAAGAGAGGTTCAATATCCCCCACAATAGCAATATTTGAACATCATTCATGTGACCTGAAAACAACATCCCTTTTGTGCAGAGTGTTACCACACCTGCAGGGACAATACAGTACTGGATAGTTGCTTTGCAAGCTCAATAAAATGAAAAGGCCTTATAAAGATTTCTTTTGGGATAGTCATCTGGTTCAAACACAGCAGAAGACAACAGCAGCAGCAGCAAAAAACCCACAATAAATTAGAAATCAGCACAGCTTTCTCAATGCTCTAGAACAATTACTTGCAAGACAAGAACCACAGCTCCGGTACTTAGAATCTTATCTTTTTTTAAAAAAAAAAAATAAAAATCCACAGGTTTTGCATAAAAATAAACATTTTAGGCTGAGAGCATTATGTTAATTGGATCAATCCGCTTTTTATATATATATATATATTTCTATGTATATTTAAATGTATATTTTTATAAGATTATTCTTTAAAGGAGTAATGGTGGTCAAAAATTCATAAAAATAGATATTTTGGAAAGAAAGAGTAATAATAAAGACAGACCTGGCCAAAAAAAAAAGAAAAAAAAAAAAATCAAACAGGGCAGTATTCGAAAGCAATGGCTCACCATACTATAACTTGTGGAGTCTAGTCCTTCTGTATTGTGAACAATTATTTCTAAATACTATGTGGTTTTGTAACAGTGGTGTAAGATATAAGTTTCTGCAAGTTTAAAAAAAATATGGGGAGGGGCACGAAATTTGGGCATACTGAAAAGATTTTGATATATGTTATATTGCTGTAAATAACTAGTACAGATCATTTCCCAAGTTGAAAGCCAGAATAATTCCAGCAATCCTTGCATTTACAAGAATATAGCTTTGTATCAAAATCTGACACTTCCCTTTGAACTAAAATTAAAGAAAAAAAATCTACTTTTGCCCTATAATGTTTTTTTTTTCTGTTGTCCTACAAGTAATGAAAGCAGATCAGAAAAGGTGGGATTTTCAGTAGTGTGTGCCAGCATTCTGTGCATCTTTGACAAAAGCCAGCTCCTAACAGTTAGAAAGATTATTTCATAGAGTGATCCTGTCCCTTTGCAGCAGGAGGTAACCTCACTGTTAAAAATCCCTTCAAGCCAAAAAGATCATGGGGATAAAAAAAGCCATAAAAAAGGATAATAGCCTGACCCGCTTGCCAGCTGCATCAGTATTCAAGTAAAGTTTAAAGTACCTTTGTGGGACGTCAGAGTGTTGGAGGGTCAGAACCAGCTTATTTTAACAAGTGTAATATGCACTTTGAAATATCTACTTGTTTAAACTTAAAACTAAAAAACACTCAAAAATAAACAGGAGCAAAGGAAAGGTCTAGGAAAATTCTCAGCATCAGTATTAGACTGCGGAGTGTCTTCTTGACACTGACATTTTGATATTCTTGCCTTCCACTTCTAATGCATTAAAATATCATGAAGTCATGCAGCCATTTCAAATGAGTATTTTAAGAATCCAGTTTTCTTAGAGGTTAACTTGATCACCAGCACAACACTGGAGAAATCTGATCTAACAATACTTCACTTACAGAATTCTTCAAAGGAAAATAAGAAATACAATTCCACAAATAACAATTCCAATTAAAAACACAGAAAGCAGATTGTTTTTTCTCAGTGTTTTCTCTTACATAGCCTTTCAGGGGGGAAAAAAAAAAATCTTCCGTTATCTCTTTCCTTAAAAGCACACTGTCTAACCAGCCAGATTTCAGAGCTATCCTCCGTCTACATCAATCTAAGCTTTTCTGAATCTGTTCATAGGGTTTGGGGGGGCAGGGGATTCCCTCTCCTAAATTTCAGAACCATCTGAAGTTTCAGCATCTGCTTATTTTGTCTTGTTTCTCTTCTTCAATTTGTCAGCTTCTCTTAGCATTTCACAGGCCAACACTAGTTTCTGCATTTGGAAAAACTCTGGACTTAGCACAGCTTCACACATTTCACCTCCTCCATGCTCTTCCCACAAAGCTTCTTTTGTCTTTAAATGTATAAAATCACAGCTTGCATAACATTATTTTAAAGAAAGAAAATAAAACACACACACACATACATTGTATTGGTGAACACTATACACTAAATGTTTCACTTCAACAGCATAACAGATAGTTTGAAGTTTGACCTACTGTAAATTGAACAGGTGGGGGAGGCTGAATTTTTATGGTTGCCATGCAAGCCACCTTCAAGACAAAACAGATGAACCCATCCAAGAGCAAACAGAGCTTCTACTCTCAAGCCATTAGACACATATTGCCTTTTGAGGGATCAGGCTGACATCTCACTAATTCAGGCAATGCAGTATTTACAGAACCACACTGAGTTGCTTCTGTATCAGTCCTCTGAACTCAAATGCTGTTAAACCAAAGGTGGAAGAGGGTATTTGACTTGTCTTATTATTAATATGTATATATTTCAATAACGCTTTGAATTTCAATTTACTTCTAAAACCTTGCCCTTTGAGAAGAACACGTCCTTGAGGTTGACGCTTTTTTAGGCTTCTGTTCCTTTAAAATTCTCTTCTTTTCATTTTGCTGTTTTTCAAACACCTGCCAGAAAACTTGCTTTCTTCCAGCAGAAAACGCAGCTGGTGGGCTCAGGCTTTCACTGCACCCGCTCTGTGAAATTCTCTGGGAAAACCCCTCGGCATTGGTCAAGTTCCTTATGCTGGATCCAGTCAGACTCCTTCACGCCCATCAGCCATCCTTCATCCTAGGAGGAGGAGGCAGAGATTAGATACTGAGGGACAGATGAAAACAGGGATTTTTCTTAGAGAGTGCAGGCCAAGGAGATGTCAAGGCATATCACAACCATGCTCATAGTTGGCTTGGAGATGATCCAGGAAGGACGGGGAGGCCCTCCAGGGAAGATTTCCTTTCACTTTTAAACAGGGAGAAGGCCACATCCCACTGGAGTTGGTACCAAAACCTCTATCTCATGCAGAGTGTCTGGGGACAGTAAAATATTGCAAATAATTAGCAAGAGACATGTCACAATATACCCTGCTGAAGTGGGAGAAATTCTGCTAAAGTCGGTCCCTAGAGCTATGGCATAGGAATCGCCCACGCTACCTAACGCAAACTAAACCGTCGGGATCTGGCTTTCTCCACAGTCAGAACCAGATTAGCACGTCCACAGTGCAATTCATCCCTTTCATCTTGGGCATGGGTCTTTAAGAAGGCCGAATCATCCCCTGGAAGTGCTCATTCTCTGCTCCAGTCAGGGCACCTGGATGACTAGCATTTTAGATAGCCAAAAGAAACAAAATGAGTCTTACTTGCAATGCTGAAAACCTGAATGGGGAGCTGAGGAGCCCAACCCATCTCCCCAAAACCCAGCACGCCGTTCAGCTTGATGCGGGATGTAGTTGGCAAAATTCCCCAATCTGTGCTACGCACAATGCCAGACTCAAGGGCTCTCATAAGGTCCTCCCTTGGCCACCAGATCTATGGATCTATAAATCAGGATGAATTTTCACTGAGGCGAAGAGAGTCCTGCCTGGTAAAACTCGCCTAAGAGGAAAACCAGACTTCCCACCCTCTCCCTGTTTTCTTCAGTTTGTCCAGCACTGACATTTCTAGTCCATCTGAAGCACATGAGGGACAAAAGACATTCAAGGTGGGAAGGCTGCACTGTTTTCAGCTCAGGTATGCATCTACTCTATTCTCTGCATACCTTGGAGCTGCCACCAAGGAAGCATCCCATCAGCATGCAGAAGTGCCCACTCATGTGAGTCATTTGCAATGGGGCAACCTACGGGTTAACACTGCAGTACAAGGTGACAGAGCTACATGGGGGATCACTGCCTCCAAACATTAGAGCTTGCTCTGCATCCACTCCTTCTGGCCAAAGCATGCACTAGGCTCACTGAGAGATATATCATCATATTCAGCTACACAATTTGTCAGGACAGAAATGCTAAGACAACCAGATGCTCTAAGCTGTGGGAAATGGGACATGCATGTGTGCAATTCACACAATTGCTCTGACGCTTCTTTCCTGGAGCTGGCAGGAGTTACCTGTGAATTTACCCAAGGCCAAGGAATGCCTCACTTCAAACATGTTCTTTAACAACATGCCTGCGCAGCATCAGGAGCAATGCAGCCCTTGTCAGGGGATGATCCATAAGGCACGTATGGCTTCTCACTGCCATTTTACAGCTTCTGCTCTGTTGTCCTGTTTTCTGCACGTTTGATGTGGCAGCAGCTCAGACCAGCCACTGCAGTATGAGTTGCCTGCTCCTTGCAAGCAGTGCTGGGTGCCTGCAGGCTGAATTAGCCCTTTCTGCTGCCTGAGATTCAAGCGTTCAGGGGACATCGTGGGAATGATGCAAGGTGGGAGCCCATCTGCAGCAGGCAGCTGCAGGGGCAGTTAGAACTGACACGCCATCAACCAGGAAGACAAACTGGGTGGAGGACACTGGACCCAAATGTCTGGAAGGCAGCTTCCAGCTCACAGCACAGCAAGCGCAGAAGATCATCCATCTACACATAGCGTCTGTGCCATACAGCATGCATCCCTCCCACCACATCCTGCTACAAAGTTCCTCCTCAGCTCTAAGGATTAGAGAGCAGGACCTAGATTCACCCTTGCTGATCTTGAACGGCCTCACTTGAAGCATCCAGTTAGAAGCATTGCTGCCCTCAACTCCTCCCAACAAGAGAGATGAATCTAGGCCTGGCTGATGCACCCACAAATTGGCACCTAAGCTGCAAGATGGGGACATGAGTCATAGTCTCTTACCCTAAGCTTCCTCCACTCACGTGCACAGTTCATGCACATGTTAACAGCCAATATTTTCTGGCTGGATATGGTCAGGGTTAGGGAAATGAGCTGGAGCACAAGATACACTGTAGGAGGGTTAGAGGGCTTCAGTGCAGCTACAGGATCGTGTTAGCAACACTCAGAGCTCACCCTCTGCAGCTTGGAGAGTCTCGAGTTCATGGCTGTTGCACCCACATCCAGCTAGAGTGCAAACATAGGGCATTGAAAAAACTCGCTCCATAAATGCCATCCCTACCACTGAAACTAGGGGAGTTCCCACTCATTTCCCATCCGGGGAGATTTCTGAGAAGGAAGTGCTCACAAATCCTTGGCCAGGGCAGTCGTACTCAGTGAAGAGTCCTGTATCCAGAAGTAATCACTGCTTCTATCCCATATAACCCTTCCCCCTAGGGCATCTAGCTCCACAGAAATAGCCAGCACATTATACCTCCCATTTCACAAGCAGCAGCAACACAATTCACAAAGTCAACAGCTACACCACAAGGGAGACCCCCATCTTCTGTGGCCAGTGAACTACACCGCCTTTCCTTTACCCCTTGTAGAATCTAGATCTCATCTGGGCTCAGCCAAGCCCACAGATCTGGTGTCTTCTGAACCAATTTGGAGAATTTTTTTTCCCTTTTCCAAATAAAAGCCTGGAGACTTCAGTCTGAATTTTTTACAAAATACCACCTCCTTCAGCCAAAACAATGAAATTGCTGCAGCATCTATCGGCTGGAAGCCCTCAAACACAGCAAGCGAGGAGGATTTACTCAAGGATTTTACAAATAGCTCAGATTAAAGAAAACCATTACCAGCTATATTCAGGTTGGAGCTGGAAAAGGAGATGATTCTTTGGAGCTGAGCATCCTGCTCCAACCTTCGGTTCTGCTGCCATCTCCTGGCCAAACGCTCTCTTTTGGAAATAGGCACTGCTACACCGAGTGTAAGACAACGCCCAGGGCAAGCTGCTTTCTCAGAGCTCCGACATGTCTCAAAGCAGAAGAAAACATCACCATATGCAGTGGGTCACTCCTACCAATGCCACAGTCCACACCGCAGTGGTCAAAGAGGATGCTCATCAAGTGTAGGAGCATCAAGGAAGCTGAGCAGGGACTCTGCTGGGTTCCCTGATCAATCAGGCCATTACTTTGGCTCAAACACCCTGATAAGGACAGGAAGCCCTGGCTACTTCAATGCTTTACACAAGATTAACGTCTCTACTTTCTGATCACAAGCGGAGTGCTCCACTGTTGCAGAAAGCCAACCCCAAGCTCAAGGACAACCGGGCTCTCCAGCCAGCTCCCAGCCACAAACTGATGGCTCTGCACCCAGCCAGCAGACTGTTAGTGGAGGAAGAAGCAGCTCTGGAAACCCCTCAGCACACCCTGGCCCAGGCATCCTCCACTCACCTGCTCCTCGGGGTTTTCAAATGGAATCACAAGCACAACATCCCCAGCCTTCAGCTGCAGCTCGTCACTATCAGTGGCCGTGTAATCATGCATAGCCTGGACCTAGGAGAAGAGGAGGGGAGAGCTCTGGTGAGGCCAGCCATCTCCCACCCAGGTGTGTAACACACAACACAGCTCTGCACTTACTTGATTCACAGGGTGATTCGGGTTGTAAGCCACCTTTGGAGGTCCCTCTGATCCAGCCTGCTGCTCAAGGCAGGGCAAGCTTCGATCACAAATGCCATGTTACAGAAGAATAATCACTTCCCTCAAATTAGTGGCTACGTGCCTGTTAATACAGCCCAGTATGCGGTTGGCCTTTGCCACAAGAGCATCCTGGTCCAATCCATCCTTCAGGTCCTTCCTTACAACAGTTGAGTTCCCATGCTATGGGCCTAAAACCTCATGGGGTGGAGAGCCTGTATTTACCTGAAAGCTGCCCTGAATTGTTTTTGCAGCTGGACTGCAAGAGTATTAGGAATTATAACCTCCCAGCTCAGTCACAGCAAGCGGAGAGAAGAAACAAGTTAAGAGTTTCAGATCGGAAAGGACTGTTCTCTGCAGTCTTGTTTCAAAAGGTCTCACATCAGAGGAATCTCCTGGGAGAAGATTCCTCAAGTGATCATATCCTGCCATGGTTTCTCTTTGGTATTCTGCCTAATTTAGATCAACATCTGTGTTACAGCCTTTCTACTTCAAACCACAGCTCTCCACTTCAAGATCTACAGCCTATAATGCTGCCTGCAAGCAATCTGAGTGTGCTGAGTCTCCCATTGTTCCCCACAGTTTTGCTACTCGCTTACTTTTGGTAGCATCTCCCTGAAAAAGTGATAGGTGGACAAAATTGAAACTGAATAAAAGCATTCCTACAGCAGTTTAAACAAAAAATGAGACTGTCATCTCGTATTTCCAGGACACAATGCCTCTCTATTGTCTTGTTGCCATATTTCATCACTCATGTTAAATCTGTGGCTTACTTTCACCCAGAATCACTTCTTCCTCCACACCTTTGAAACAAATTGCAAGTGATTTACTGCATATTCAGAATCTCCACCACACTTCCCTGTTCAATCTTATATTTTTCTCTTTTCATCCTGACTTTCTAATCCCCCCCCCCCCCCCCCCCCCCCCC